AAAAAAAAAAAAAGGAAAAAGGAAAAATCAAGCTTATCTTAGAGAATTCTGATGCTATTTTAAACAGTGTTACTATTGCCCTTGTGGATGTTTTATCATTTTGATTTAGGACCCTTTGTGGCCAAAACCAGAATTTAAAAATCAATAAATAAGCTGTTGTAGTCTGTTTTCTGTTGCTGCAACCTCGGTACCACAGACTGAATAATTAGTAAAGAAATAAAGGTTTATTTGGCTCATGATTCTGAAGGCTGGGGAATTTAAGATCACGCAGCCACCTACGGAGAGTGTCTTAGTTACTTTCCTCATTGCTGGAATAAAATACCCAACACCTACAAGTTAAAGGAAGAAAGGTCCACAGTTAGCCCACAGTTGAGTTTTCAGTTCATAGTTGGCTGCCCCAAGGCAGGGTGGCATGGCCGAGGGGCATGGCTGAGGAGAAACAGTCCATGGTATAACAGGCAAGAAGCAGCAGCATCAGGCCTCCTTCTCCCTTTTATCCCATCCAGCCTACAAGCCTATTGGTTGATATCACCCACACCCAGGGTGGGCCTTCCCATTATCCACACCCAGAACTATGCTAAACCAATCAGTGGACTAATACAGTTATCACACCCCTAATCCCAGTATCACACGCTCTAGATCCAGCCACCTCTGAAAAGCCCCACCTATGAGCACACAAGGCTTTGGGGAGACATCTCAACACAAGCCATAACAGAGAGGTGGTAGCAGCTTTCCTTAGGGTCCCAAAATGGCACAGTGCTCACAGTGAGAATGTCCTGGCTCAGGTTTCTCTTCTTACAAAGCCATTGTCTCCTCAAATTCAGGCTTCACCCTTACAGCCTTAGTTAACCTACCAAAGATCTCCAAATAATGTAGTCAGTTTAAGTTTTACCCTTTTAATATCAAAATAGGGATGAAATTTCAACATTACTTTTGGTAGGGACATTCAAACCATGGCATATGTACAGTATTTTGATATTCTAGAGAAAAACCATACCAACAGTTACCAAACAGCAAAGACTATTGCTGTGTTCATTTGGGGTTTTGGTGGTGGTGGTGTTAGGTTTTGGTGTGCATAGGGCAGAGGTGTGGAGGTGCCCCGGGTTAAAATATATGTGACCTATGTGTATTTCTGCCACCATAGCAATTCTGGGAAGGAAGAGGCAACCCAAAAGAGATTGCTATTAGAGAAGTCGATATGTACTGTGACTGCTTAATCACTAAAAGCATTTTAATTTTTACAGAACCACAGAAGACAGTAAAAAGCAGAATAACTGAGAATTGATTAAACCATTAGTATTTATTTCATGGCTAATACAAGTCTCGGGGTTAATCAGCACATCCCTCCAAGAACACTAGATGGCACTAATAATTTACTTTAGGGATTCAAATTACCTCAGGTAAGGGCCAGGGATTTAGCTCAGTGGTGCCACTCCCTGCCTTGCAAGTGCAAGGTCCTGAGTTC